TCAACAGTAGGCTATTAGTAGTTAAGTTTTTGGGGAGTCAAAACGTGGATTTTCGCCTGCATGGGAGGTTAGTACTACCCTAACCCTTACGTTGTTCAAGGGTCAACTGTATAAAGGGCCTTAGGTGCCGACATAAATGTAGCTATTCTTATTAGAAGTATCCATAGTCCACCTCATAAATGGCAATGCTAGGACCAAAACCCAAGTCTCTGAACTCATTTACCCTTCTGTTACCACTGTACTGGTTAGTGGCAGTGATAACTTAAGGGTGGATGGTACCAAAGAGATGACCTCAGGTGATGGGAGGTCTGTGTGTTTTGTATACATAACATCCAGACTAGACTTGGGGTGGGGAGAGTTGTAGAACCACATCTACCAGTGTCTAGTTTCCTTTTTGGGCAATTCTCTCTTCTCCACTCCTGAATTTTCCCCTCCCACTTGGCTTATATTTCAGGAGCTGCAGAAGGCCCAGAAGAAGAAATACATCAAGAAGAAGCCTTTGTTGAAGGAGGTAGAACAGCCTCAACCTCAAGAGTCCAATCTCAGCATGGCAGCGCCAGCCCCAACTCTGGCGACTACACCCCAGCTTCTCACCTCCTCCTCGCCCCTGCCTCCTCCTGAGCCTAAACAAGAGGCCCTCTCAGGAAGTCTTGCTGACCACGAATACACTGCTCGTCCCAATGCCTTTGGTATGGCCCAGGCAAACCGCAGCACCACACCCATGGCCCCTGGCGTCTTCTTGACCCAGCGGCGCCCTTCAGTTGGCTCCCAGAGCAATCAAGCAGGACAAGGTACAGCTGCCATATGGTTGCAGAACTGAGTAGGATCTTAGGGTCACCAGCTCCAAACCCTAAGTACTCTGGTAGATGAGAATACCTGGGAGGGATACTGATGGTCAACCTAAGGCGCTTGTATTTTATCTCTTAGGCAATGAAGGGACGTTAACTGATGTTAAACAGGGGCATTTCAGATGTGGGTTTAGAAAGAGCCTTCTGATGACCAGAGTGGAGGGTGGGCAGTGGGTGAGAAGTCTAGGGAGGAGACATATACACAGGTTTCAGGCTGCAGTGAAGAGAAGCTGGGGCTATAGCAGAGGGAATGAAGAGGGAGAAGATAAATTGATCAAATATGGAGGAGGTCACAGTGGACATGGGAAGTGATTTGATGTGGGGAGAGAGAGGAAGAGGCAATGGGGGGGGCATGACTCAAGCTCTCTTTTTCCTCACTTTGGCCTTCAAAGCCCAGTCCCTAGAGTATGCAGCTCAAGGGTGGTGAAGTCAGTATGGCATTGGATGATGAAGATGAGGGTTGCTAATGAAACAAGGCCGTGGGAATGCCACCTTCCAGGACACTGAGCTATAATCACTAACCAGGCACTTGTCCAATCTCCATGGTCAGGATAAGAGGACAGGGAGGCATTACCACATCCCTGCAGAATTTAGGAAGGAAAATGATTGGGACCAAATAAATCAATGAGGAAAAGGAATCAGACAGGCTAATCAGGGAGTAGATAGCTGCTGCAGGAGGTCATAGGAGGAAGCACCAAGGCATGATGGAAGTAGTTAAGAAGGGCCTCTTGCCCAAGATGTGCCTGGAGCCAGTATAAGAATGGGGACACTCTGTGGGCAAAGGAACAGAGGAGGGGGGTAGAACAAATATAGATGGTGCTGGAGTTGTTGCTGAAGCCCTTGCCATAGCCTTTACTTACCTCTCTTTTCCCCACAGGAAAGCGTCCTAAAAAGGGCCTGGCCACAGCAAAGCAGAGACTTGGCCGTATCCTGAAAATCCACAGAAATGGCAAACTACTTCTGTGAGCCCCCTAGTGTCCTGCCCCTCTCCCCTTCACCCCCATTGCCTTCTCCATCGTCAACTCTCGGGGCACTCCTGGATCCTATCTGCCCCGGACAAGGTGCTGAGGCGCATTGTCCTGCTTTCTTGGAACTGACCAAAGGCACGGACTCCCCAAAGGGCCCCTTCACCAACTCCCCTAACTCCCTTTTCTACTTCCACTAGAGCATCCTGCCTTCCTTCTCCATACCTCTGACTAGCAGGTAAATGGGAGAGGTTTCTGGCTGACCAGAACCTTCTTCTGCTGCTTCAACCTGTTTCTTTTTTACCAGCCTTATCTGCCCTATACTCACATCCCCACTTAGAGCTAGGAGGCAGGATGAAGAGAAACAAAGTGAGCCTGGGCCCCTTGCTATTTCCCTGATTATGGAGTTCCCAGTGCTCAACACTTCCCACAACTCCAGCCCTGTCTGCAGAAGCCTGTCCACCTTTGCCCATATGTTCTTCCCCTTCTACCCCCCAGCCAAGTGGACATATCCCATTCCAGATTCGTTCCTGGGAGAAGGGTCTAGCCTCTTTCCCCTCTTGCCAAATGCATCATGAAAATAAAGAAGAGGGCCTGGAGTCTTCTTATTGCCCCAGTAGGGGCCATTTCCAGAGGTGGACTAGAAAGGCTGTGGGCTGACTTCATTCATCTTTGGGAAGAAGAGAGATTTCTGTCATGTCTAAAGGTGGGGAGAGGACCAACACCCAAGCCTTTGACCATGACTTTGTAGCCCATTGGAGGAAGCTACTTTTGGGTGGCTACCGATGAGGTCCCCTGTCCCAGGGTGAGCTTCAGGGATTTGCCTGGATTTTGAGGTCCTGCAGAACATTATCCATGTGGCTATAGCTGGGCCCCAACAGGTGATCTTCCAACAGTCTGAAAGTTCCTACCACTGAAGCAGATAACTCTGGCCCTACGTACAGCCTGCTCTCTTCACCTGTACCACAGAGCACAGCCTGGACCTTCTGGAAAGGATGTGACAGGACAGCTCACCTCTGGGTTCTCCATCAGGAGCCTCCCTCCTTTCCCCGCCTAAGGTCTTGGTCTAAAGAAGACCTCAGAACTCACATCTTCGCTTCTGGGCCTTTGTGCTCCCAGACATCAGGTCAATGCTCAAGCAGAGTACAGATGGGCTATTCGAGAGCCTGAACCTGGGAGAGGAGATGCCCATCTGTAAAGGAGCAGATCATCTGATCCTCCCCTCCCTGTCTTCCCTTTGTGGATGTCTCTATTGTCCAGACAGTGCCCAACCCCTCCTCCTCCACTGTCTCCCTCCACCTCAGTTTGTCCCGCCTTTCTGGCAACCTGGACTGGATGGATAATGCCCCACTCCCTCCATTTTGGTACTGCCCAAGTGGAGTGCATCCTTGTCCTCTACTCCCCACTTTGACCTCACCCCAGTTTGCCCAGTGCTTCTGGGGAATTTAATAGCTACCATTGCAGGCTATGGGAGTATGTGAGGCTGCCCTTGTTGTCTTTGTGTCTCCAGTTTCTTTCTTTTCTCTACAGCCCCACATCTACTCTCCTCATTTGGAATCAGGGGCCCCTTAACCCCATTCCTTTTTTTTATTTTGGGGACCCCAGGGGCCATGCAGTCCATCTAGTCACACCAAAGGCAAAAAGCCTGGCTACCTCCCCCCCCCCAGAACGTGAGGTCCCCACTCCCCTCCCCTCTATTTCCACCCAGCTTTGCTCTTCTTGGGGATTTCAAGGCAGCAGAGGGTAGTGAGGGGAGGGAAGGAGGAACAGTTTGTGTCCCTGTGTAGGCAACTGCCTGACTAGGCCCTGCCTGACTGCTGTAACAAAAACCAGGACCCCAGCCCTTCTGCCCATTAACACCCTCCCCCCTTGATATTTCAAAGGCAGCTAATTGCTAGCAAATCCCCCTGGTTCCAGGCCTCTTTCCCCTCTGTTTCTTTGTTAGAAGTTTCTGTGGAGCTGAAACCCAACTTCCATTTGACTGGGTTTCCATTTAGTTTAGTTGGGCTCTCAGAGTCTCCTGTATGTTGTTTTGTGTTTTAAATGAAAAGCAAGTTTACCCTCAGAGTTATGCTTTTCCAAAGAGGCTAGTGTGCTTTTTCTTTTCTTTTTTTTTTTTTTTT